GATGTCCATGTAGGTTAAACACCATCACTTTCTCCTGTCTGTGTGGGTGTGTATTTTGACTCTGAAACTCGCGCGTGCACAAATATACACTCCCACACCATCCCACTTTAGTTCCTCCGACACTCCCCCCTAAACAGAGCTGGACACGCCCACTTTTCTGACTTTTTCCAAAGTAGAGGTGTGAAAACACCCTGCTGAAACGAGGGGGTTTCATGGCCCTTTAAAATACATTTTATGTTTTAAAATGATATATATATATATATAGACTCACTGGCCACCTTACTATCGATACAATCAATGCCACGAAGGATTAAAGCAGTACCGGTCCAACCCAGTACTGCTTTAATCCTTCATGGCATAGATTCAAGAAGGTACTGGAAATATTCCTCAGAGATTTTGCTCCATATTGACATGATAGCATCACGCATTTGCTGCAGATTTGTTGGCTGCACATCCATGATGCGAGTCTCCCGTTCCACCTCATCCCAAAGGAGCTCTATCGGATTGAAATCAGGTGACTGTGGAGGCCATTTGAGTACAGTGAACTCATTGTCATGTTCAAGAAACCAGTCTGAGATGATTTGCGCTTTGACATAGGTAGGCTGTAGCGTTGATACGATGCTCAGTTGGTTCTAATGAGCCAAAAGTGTGCCAAGATACTCATCTACCGAGCTACCCACCCACATTTTATATTTCTTTTATTTAAATTGTTTTGAATGTGTATCTTAAAAAAAAGTTCTGTAAAATTGGCGAGAACTTTTGGTTGCTAGTAAGACTGTAAATTTACAAGCATGCTGGAAATAAATAATTATTGACATTTTATAATTATTAATTTACAGAGCACTTGTAAATTCACAGTCTTACTGGCAATCAAAATTGGTAAAATTTATTAATTCATTTATTTTCCTTCGGCTCAGTCCCTTATTTATCAGGGGTCGCCACAGCGCAATGAACCGCCAACTATTCCGGCAAATGTTTTACACAGTGAATGCCCTTCCAGCCACAACTCAGTACTGGGAAACACCCATACACTCTCACATTCACACACACTCATACACTACAGCCAATTTAATTCATTCAATTCACCCATAGCGCATGTCTTTGGACTTGTGGGGGAAACTGGAGAATGCAGAGGAAACCCACACCAACCACATGGAGAACATGCAAACTCCTCACAGAAATGCCAACTGGCCCAGCCGGGACTCAAACCTGTGACCTTCTTGCTGTTGTGGCTGGAGGGGCATCCGCTGTGTAAAACGTACGCTGGATAACCTTGCAGTAGTGTGTGTGTGTGTTTAGGCCACAGTGTGTAAGGAGATCTGAGAATGAACAGTTTCCCGTATTCCACCCATAACAAAAGAACACAGAACATTCAGTTCCACCAAACGTTTCCCCGCTGTGAGCTCCGGCTTTCACTTCTCAAAGCCTCAAATATTTCTCCGGCTAAAAATGTTTGTTTCTCAAGCGTGTTTTAACAAGTCGTGCTAAAGCAAGTGTGTTCAGCACAGTAAATAACTCTACTGCGGAGACTTCAAAACTTAAGAGCCGTTTCATTTTTAATTTAGTTTACTAATGCTCCTCTAAAACTTTAGCACACTCAGGCTGATCTTATATGAAAGTCACTAGGCTATAAACAGGTTTGTGTGAACCACATCCAATTGAACTGTTAAACCTGACAATGATTATATTCATTGACAAGTTTAAAAACGTATAAATAACTTACAAATTACAAGCTGTGCATTTATATATAAATACATTAATTATAAATGGTAAAATAAATTACAATGTAAGTGCACTGTAAAAAATGTACAGTAAATTTTAAAGTAAAGGCGGTACAGTGGCTATGTTTCCAGTATTAGAGATGTACAGTGTTCAGCATATATGAGTACATCCCTCACTAATCCCTTATTTAAATTGATATTTTCTATAGGATGCTTCGCGATATTATATTTGTGCATATTATTAGTCAGTACTGAAATGAAACCTGGAGCTTATCGAACAAAACAACTAATGATAACAGTCCAAAATTAGTACACCCAAATTCATGGGTAATTCTTCAACTACAGATACTTTTATGTCCTTTGATCATATAATCAAGCATATATATAATTTTGTTCAAATTCCTCTTTCTTTGTCAAACTAACAATAAAACCTACTTTTTTAAAAATTGCTAACTTTCTGTTATGTTTTTTTTTTATATTATTCAACCTCCTTTTAGGTGTCAAAATCACTGTTTTCACCTTGTTGCACATAACAAAAAATAACAACTTTAACTATTATTTATCTGGTATATATTACTGTATCTTAATTAAGCACTGGTGGAATAATTTAGATATTTTATAGTTATTAATGTGAGGCTATTATTAATATTATTTTTTATACAAAATATAGCTGTCGCACAGTGTCTGTCATTTCCACCATACCACTAATGTCGCTTCAAAAAGTTTGACTTAAAGATTATTTAGGTGGTTTCTATGAAAATGAATAGTGTCATCTGAGAACATCTTCAAGATGGAGGAAATTTACATTTTAATCTACAACACTTGAAGAAAAATTAAGGTACAGTTGAAGTCAGAATTATTAGACCGCTTGTTTATTTATTCCCCAATTTCGGTTAAATGGAGAGCAGATTTCTTCAACACATTTCTAAACATATTAGTTTTAATAACTCATTTCTAATAATGGATTTATTTCATCTTTGCCATGATGACAGTAAATAATATTTTACTAGATATTTTTCAAGACACTTCTATACAGCTTAAAGTGACATTTAAAGGCTTAACTAGGTTAATTAGGGGAACTAGGCAGGTTAGGGTAATTAAGCAAGTTATTGTATAACGATGGTTTGTTCTGTAGACTATCGAAAAAAATAGCTTAAAGGGGCTAATAATTTTGTCCCTAAAATGGTGTTTAAAAAAATTAAAACTGCTTTTATTCTAGCCAAAATAAAACAAATAAGACTTTCTCCAGAAGAAAAAAATATTATCAGACATACTGTGAAAATTCCCTTGCTCTGTTAAACATCATTTGGGAAATATTTTAAAAAGAAGAAAAAAATTCGAAGGGGGCTAATAATTCTGACTTCAACTGTATATATGTATTGATAAGGAAATACATTTATTCTACATCATTTCCAAACATGTTGTACCTTCAAAGATGTTTTTAAAACCAAACAAAATTAGGGTAAATAAGAGTGTTTATGAAAGGCTAGCATCAATTCAAAGCTAATCGGTGAAGCCATCTTTAATTTTTTCACAATAAACTGTTGAAATGTCATTTCCACCACCGTCATTTCCATCACCACACACATTTTAAAAAATTATTTTAAAAGTTCTCATCACATTAAAAGTGTATCCGCAATGTATGAGTTCATGCTCTATTTAATATATATTTATTTTCTAATAAGCCTCTAATTAAATTAATATTACATTTTAGAGTGTGACAGGTGTACAATTCAGCACACAACTCATTTATTTCATTGACAAATGTATTATTATTTTATATATATTGTGGAAAGATTGGGTAAACTGGATACAAAAATGATTTTGACAATGTTTGACTGCCATCATTTATTTCATTTTGAAATAAGCTGTATATTGACATGTGGTGGAATTGACATTTGTTCAGTTCACCATGGAAAAAATGTTTCTCTTTTTATCTAAGTTTGTCCTCTTACAGATCTTAAAACTAGACAAATAGTTTAAACTTATGAGGCTGTTACATTAATTTTACGCTAAGTTTTTTTACTCAACTTCACAAGGCTAAAAGTGCCCATAGACGAAGAATGGCCCTTATATTAGAGAAAATATTCTCTAATATCTAAGAAATTCAAAAAATCTGAAAAGTATACAATTTTTGTTGATATTTTGTTGTCTGTAGTTTGATTTTCCAATATTTTGCATAAATTTAAATGTATTATCTTTCTATTTCTAAATATGTTTGGTGACTAAAATATTATTTTAATAATTTTTTTCTGTTGAATAAATCTGTTTTGTTTAAATGGACTAAAATATATAACCTATATTGACTTAGAAATGGATAAAAATATTCATTTAAAAATGAAGTGTACTCTATGGAGGACCAGGAGAGCTTGTTAGAAATCAAATGAAGAATCAAATTATCAATTTAATAATTAAAGCATTAATATATATATATATATATATATATATATATATATATATATATATATATATATATATATATATATATATATATATATATATATAAATAAATCACAATTTAAATGAACAAATAAATAGACATATTTAAAAGTGTTTGTTTAAATTTAATAAAACAATGCATTTAAAAATAACTTTTGTGAATATGACCATTTGTAAATATGTCCATTTTAGATGATTTATTCATACACATTTTAATGCTTCGATTATTAAATTGATAATTTGCTTCCTCAGTTTATTTCTATCTGGCACTCCTGGTCCTCCATACTCATTTATGTTGAGCACTGGATGTGAAATGCCTCTGATATATGTAGTAAAAACGCTGTTGCTCTTTTCAGGATCTCTAAAGATGGAGGTTTTAGATTCGTCACATTGACATTTCTTTGTGTCGGAGACAATAAAGACCCAGGAAAGTATATAAAGAATCTTTGAATGCTTCAGGGTGTGATCTTACCTGAAGAACTGCCACGCCTGTGCTGATTTACCCTGTGTAAACTTATCTTGCGTGACCTATATTAAGACTACACTTTTGACCAGTCACTTTTGATGAGGTAGCTCGCATCTTTGGTGTTTGCAAACTATTTTTAATGGAAATCCAATATCGATCCATTTACAACCTGCTACATAAAAGTAGCCCTGACTTGGCAACACTGGCTCATTTTAAATATCAGCTGGTGCTCTAGAGGGCGCGCTAATGCTCTGCTTTACTAGACGAGCGCTGGCGCCTCCTCCTGGTGGATAACCTCCACTATACAGTGTTCTCAAAGGAGTATTAAAGTGGTTTACTGTTGGTTTAATGACATGGACTCTCTCGTGTTACAGCTCTTCAGGGTGGAGATTCTCTTCAATGGAAGGAAGCACTTTGTTTTACGGCGACACGGCGAGTTTCAGACGCTTCACAGGAAGGTGAAGAAGATTCTGCGAGTTCCTGATTTCCCCAGCAAGAGAAACCAGCATCTGCGAACCAAACCACTGGAGCAAAGACGACAAGAACTCGAGGACTACATCCAGGTTGACTGTTTTTATTTATTTATTTATTTATTTATTTATTTATTTTTACAAGTGTTTGATGTTAAATTTAGCTCTAATATATATTTTTTAATAATTTCAGTTCATGTCAACGCTGTGATAAACTGTATATTGACTACTGAAGGCGTTTTTAATATATGTAGCACTAAAAAGTATATTAGTAATCGAAGGGTTTATATTGAGCACACTCCGCATTGTGGGATATATTTTGCACACAGTCTGGTTGGCTTTAACCTTTACGCATCTGGGTCATATCAAGCATATTTCTGAAAACTTCCCTGGTTCACATTTTGTTAATATTTATAAATAGAAAGACAAACATACAGTAAATGGCTGTATGTTTACTGACACTGTCTACATTTTGTTTGTGACCTGAGAAAGTTTTATAGACCACTTCAATATGGCGATATTATTGGCTCTGGGCGGCACAGTGGCGCAGTAGGTAGTGCTGTCGCCTCACTGCAAGAAGGTCGCTGGTTCGAACCTTGGTTTGCATGTTCTCCCTGCGTTCCGGGTGCTCCGGTTTCCCCCAAAGTCTAAAGAGATGCGGTACAGGTGAATTGGGTTGGCTAAATTGTCCGTTGTGTGTGTGTGTGGATGTTTCCCAGAGATGGGAAAGGGCATCCGCTGCGTAAAAACGTGCTGGATAAAATGGCGGTTCATTCCGCTCAGGCGACCCCGGATTAATAAAGGGACTAAGCCAACAAGAAAATGAATGAATGAACAGTTCCTCCTTCTCATGAAACTATTCCAGAACTGTAACTAGAGACAACTCATTCATTCATTCATTTTCTTGTCGGCTTAGTCCCATTATTAATCTGGGGTCGCCACAGCGGAATGAACTGCCAACTTCCAGCCGCAACCCATCTCTGGGAAACATCCCCACACACACAATTATACACTACGGACAATTTAGCCTACCCAATTCACCTGTAACATGTCTTCGGACTGTGGGGGAAACCGGAGCACCCGGAGGAAACCCAAATGAATGCAGGGAGAACATGCAAACTCCACACAGAAACGCCAACTGAGACGAGGCTCAAACCAGCGACCCAGCGACCTTCTTGCTGTGAGGCGACAGCACTACCTACTGTGCCACTGCTTCGCCAAAGACAATTCAGTCATAGCTAATGTAAACACAGTGGTCTGTTTGTCAATATGTGGACCATTTAGGATTTCCAGAAGCTATGGAAAGTAAAAATCTAAAATAGGAAACATGTTAGGACCATTATTGTTTACATTCCTCACTGAAAGAAAATACAGAAAAATCACACACTAAACACATTTTATACACATTATACCACAACAGTATGAGTGTGTGATTGGGATTAATATAATACAATGGAATAAACAGGATATTTATGTGCTCTCTATTAACATGAACTTCAGCTCCAGAGTTTTTGAGTCAGTCAGTTGTTTAAAATAAGATTAAATAGTAATTTTATTCAGTGAAAACCTGTTTAAGTGTCAGTAAAGACATTAAAATTGATTCCACCCATAAATAATCCCCAAAACTCTTCTGTTTATCAAAGAGTGCGGTAATGGGTGGATGGATTTCATGGCTTCTGATGAAATATTAACAGTTTCAACATTAATTCAAGAGTTCACACTTAGCTGATGATTGATTATAAAGCTTGTTTGGCATGCTGTCCTGGGAGAGAGCTCCGAGCTTATAAGATCCTTGAACCAGGGGCTCCCTCCCGTTTGCAGGGGGAGTTTGAGCTCAGGTAGATCTCGAGAACTCCCCTGCTGTTGTAGCTAAATTAGGGATTGCTTTGAAGCGATGACGACTTACTATGAGCACATCTATAATGCCGATTTAGATTTAGTCAATTAACTGAAGTCACATGTTTTTGGATGGTTGGAGGAAACCGCAGAAAACCCACGTTAGCACAGGGAGAACATGTAAACGCCACACAGAAACATCCACTGGCTTGGTATTGATAAGAACCAGAAGCGTTCTTGCTGAGCGGCCCAGTTGTTAGCACTGTTGCCTCAGTGTCGGCCATCTAGGAAAGGAGGAGTAGGGGGGGAAGGGGGGATTTTTCAAATTGAAGATGACTGTGGTGTGGAACTTAAGTTATTTATGGCTACTTCGGAATCGTCTGATTGATGAATAATGAATTGGCTAATGCGGTACCAGCCATGATCAATCATAAGCTGGTGATCCTCTCGAAATTAGTTTATAAATACACTTCACTTGGAGCTGCGCGGTGGCGCAGTGAGTAGCACTATCGCCTGTTGCTGGTTCAAGCCTCGACTAGATCAGTTGGCGTATCTGTGCGGAGTTTCCCCCACAGTGGTACAGGTGAATTGGGTTAGCTAAATTGTCCGTAGTGTATGAGTGTTTCCCGGTGATGGGTTGCAGCTGAAAGGGCATTCGCTGCGTAAAACATGCTGGATAAGTTGGCGGTTCATTCCGCTGTGGCGACCCCAGAATAATAAAGGGACTAAGCCGAAAAGAGATTGAATGAATGAATGAATAAACTTCAGCTATAATGATAATTGAAAAAAAATAATTAGGACAATGATTTCTGAAGGATCATGTGATGCTGAAGCCTGGAGTAATGATTCTGGAAAGTAATGATTCAGCTTTGAAGTAACAGTAATAAATTACATTTATTACAAGATTACAAATTACAAGAACATTTATTGTAAAAATAATTATTATTTCACAATATAATAAAGAGACTAAGCCGAAAGGAAATGAATATATTATTGTTTTTACTGCATTTCTAATAATCAAAATGCAGCCTTGGTGAGAATCTTGACAGAAATATTGACCTCAAGCGTAGTATATACTGGATAAATTACTGCAACACATATCAAAGTTTTTTTTTAAAATAAGATAAAAATTATCATTTTGATCAGCAAGAATTAAAGAAAAAAAAAAATCCAAAATTACAATTGTTATGATGAATGGATTTCATGGTTTCTGACAACTGTTTTTAACATTGATAATATTCATAATAATAATATTCAAAATAATAATAAATGAAGATTTCTGAAGGAGATCATGTGATTAAGACTGGAGTTATGATTCTGAAAATTCAGTTTTGACATCCCAGTAATTAATTATATTTCAAGATATGTTTGAATAGAACCTTTATTTTAAGAAATAAATAATTTCACAATGTTACCGTATTTCCAATAATCAAAATGCAGCCTTAGTGAGCATCCTGAGACGAAATATTGACTTCAGGCGTAGTATATACTGCATAAAGTATTATTAAAATATAATCTATACATTATAATAATTCAGACTTCAACCGTACCGAGGTTATAACACTTCTTTTTTCATTGGCTGCCGATTGCAGGTGATTCTCTATCAGAATGATGTTGTTCCTCAAGAGCTTCTGGATTTCCTGCAGGTCAAACATTTTCATCCAACAAGCAAGAACTGCAGCTCTGAGTATGTTTACAACCATTAGTAATCATTTGATAATTAATAAATAGTTATATAAATGTATAAGAGAAGGAATACCACCACTATTTTCAGGCTGATTAATGAGATCCTAATTGTCATTTTCAGTGAAAACCAGTCAGATTACTGTCGGGAGCAGGAATACAGGCAAGTTTATTCTTACCTGTAATCATAAAAGTACCTGTATAAGAGTTCATTCTTACTCATTTCACCTTCACCCAACATTTTTATTATTGAACAATGTTTTATTTTTTAATTTGTATATAGATATCAGTCATTTCATCAGCGAGTAGTTGGTTTTTCGGCTGACCCTTACCAGCTTGAATCCAGATCAGGTAAACGTCATTACAGAAATAGAGATTTATTTTACACCAGAATAGCTGCGATTATTCCTGTTGTGCTTATTTCTCCCTCCGCAGATCTCCCTGATATCGTGGTTGCCGGTGTCCTGCAGGGTTTTTACCCTAAAGATGTCAAAGTGAGTTTCAAAAAGAGCTGCGGTAAACCCAGCGGCGTCACCTGTGCTCCAGCGCTACCCGCGCATCCCAAAATCCCCATTATTACCATCAACAGAAGCAGCGTCAGCTCACTGCCAGTATGAGCATTGCCTAACAACTTGGTCTCATTTAAATGTGCCTTTACATGAGTGTACAGTATCGATTGAATCCTTCTCATGTTAATATTACAACCATTTAGATGTTTTTCATGAAAAAATATTGTTTAAAAATAGCTCTGTTTATCATATTTAGCACAAAAAAGTTGTTAAATCCTGTACAGTACAACTGTAATCATACATCATCATATTCATAACCTTTTACTGTGTTAGAATATTATATTATTGTTTGACAAACAGAAGTCATAATGATACTAAACATAAGGCATATGAACATAACTAACTTGTTAATTAAATTCTATAAATAATATTTAAATGTAAGCATTACTTATTAATGGGCTAAACTGAGGCTCACTGGTTAGCACTTCCTCCGGGTGCTCCGGTTTATCCCCAGTCCAAACACATGCGCTATAGGTGAATGGAGATATTTCCAAATGCAGATCCACACGTTTCAGACAAACACACAATCTTGGCAAACCATATATGGTTAATGACGGATCAGTCGACTTCTATTTTTTTTTTCTTGTTTAACGATGACTAACTGATTAGGAGGATTTTCGCCACCCACTGAATTTCACAAATATGGAAATTGAGACTGCCCATGCTACGATTGCCATTCATTAGACTCTGAACAGTTTAGGGTTTCCCATTTCAGTCATTATTTCATTATTATATTGTAACAATCATTTTAACATCTGTGCAAATTTTTTTACTCAAATTAGGTGAATAAAAACAATTAGTTAAACGCATATGACTATATTCACATATCCACATACACAAAGAAAACCTAATAGACTCTCTAATTGTAGGATCCTAATGTTGTCATAGATAAAATCGTAGTAAAATGTAAAAAACAAGCAATAATGCGTCACATTATAATGAAGTACTATAGTTAATAATTTAAAATTGATATAGTTATAAACTGATACTTTAACTTTTACTAAACTGACACACACACACGCACACGCACACACACACACAGTTTTTTTTCTTCTGGAAAAAGTCGTATTTATTTCCGCTAGAATAAAACAGTTTTTAATTTTTTAAACAGCATTTTAAGGTCAAAATTATTAGCCCCTTTACAGAACAAACCATCATTATACAATAACTTGCCTAATTACCCTAACTTGCCTAGTTAACGCAATTAAGCCATAAAGTCAAATATTATTTAGTCATCATGAAAAGATACAATATATCAGTTATTAGAAATGAGCTATTAAAACTAATATGTTTAGAAATGTGCTGAAAAATAAAAATCTGTCATGATTTAAAAACACCATATAACAATATAAAAACAATATATTACTTACTATAAATTTCTGAAGTATTTAATGTGGGAAATCATTTATAATAAAACGTTATTAGAAAATAAAGCAAATAAATACTTTAATCGCTGGAGTAAAATCTTAATATAGTGTTATACATTTATTAAATGTAAAAAGATTTGTATTAGATATAAAGATCTATTATAGGCCAAACATATTAATTTATTTTTCCATCATTATAATGAACTCATTTTTTTAAATTAAACCTGTAGAAATGATACATCTCTGAAAAATGTTTCAGCAAGGCCAGCAATCAAGTATCTGCTATAATGACTGTCAGATAAATAATGGACAATCAATAGGGCCAGACAGAATCTGCAGACGTTTTTGTTATTTCTGTGGAGAATTTTGTTAAAAATCTGCAGAATTATTTTGGGAGTATCATAACTAAAGCTTTAATATGTGAAATAAAAAAATATCTTTTTAACTTTTATTTAATGTTTAAAATGCAAATCCAATTAAATTCACTTTACTTGGTGAACAAGTCTCTCATATATATATAAAATACTAAAAGACAGAAAATATTACTTTACAAACTGCATTGGACATAAATCAGATGAACATTTTTACATTAGTCAATATTACTTTAATTAATTAAAAAAACTTAAGTAAATGTGTGTAAATTTATATTTATTAAGTATAAAAACAGAATTAATGATGGGCTAAAAATCTGCGGAATTCTGCGCGCGCAGATTCCGTGTGGGCTTACCGATAATCTATGATGACTGATTGAAAACGGTTCAGTCTATTATATTGAACGGCAATCAAACAATGTTCCCCATTTGCTTGTGACAATCACCATATTTGTGAAATAGTAAACTATTGTTTGTGTACAATATTTATTAACAATATATATATATATATAGATGACGATGTCCGAGAAGACGTTATTAACATTAACATCTGTCGTAACCATATATGGTTTGCCTAGATTGTGTGTGCTGGATTGCGTGTGCCTGAAACAATATGGGTCTGCAGCTGGATATTATTATTGGGTGAATGGATTAAACTAAATTGGCCGTAGTGTATGTCCTGGTCTTCCAAGTTGGGGGCTGAGCATTGGGGTCACACCCCACCTAATAAAAAAAACTAGATGTTACGAAGCACCAATATGGTCAACTTCAATATAATATGGCCCTGGGAGTAATTAAGTATTACGTACTTAAATTTTAATATCCTGCGATATATACGTTACTAATAGTAAGAAATATAATAACGTGATAATAAATAACAATTTACTTAAGTTACTATAATAACTTCAGATATAAACAACCCAGGTATCTTTTGAAACTTGGGGATATTCATATTTTATTATTTATGTTTATTAAATATTATATTATTATGTTGTACTGAATCAACATTTCCCCCTTAATTTAATAATTTAAACTTGTTTTCATTATGAATTTGAGTTTATTATTATTTAAAGCTTTTACCACAAACCACCAGAGTTTACGATCACTGATTTTGTTTGATTGTGCAGCAACATTTCTATATTATAAATCGACTTGTATTTGTATTAAGAGTGTTTCAATCAAATAAGAAGTGATTTGTTCATGGTTCCATGTCATATAATTAAATCACGACCACATCCTTTAAGAAAACCTGGATCCTTTATTGAAGATTCGTTTACAAAAGCAGGTTGGCGTGACCTTGTGGAATGATAGTTTGATCTGGACCCAGGAGTGCCGCTCTGCGGATCGGGACTGGCGCATGATTGTCCCACGAGATGGACGAAGCTCCAAATAAACACTTTTGAATCCACTAGAACTCCAGCGGCACCAAATTCAACCCCGTTACACCCAGAGTCCTGTTGTTCCCCCAGACTTTAAATTACTCTTTAGCTACAGCGAATGGCTTCTCCACATCGATCTTGCCGCTGTCGTGGATGCTGACGTCTTTCAGAGGTTTATCTCTCCCGTCCGTCTTTGTGGCCTCGATCTTCCTCACCACATCCTTGAAGATGAAGAGAAGAAATGCCACAAATTTAGCACAACTGCTGGAGGAGGTGTAGGAAATGACGAATACATAGGACAGCATTAAATCAGTTTGTTTTTGTGTGTATTTATAGTAGTGCTTGTTCGTTGGCTCAGAAAGAGAGTTGCTGGTTGGAGTCTCGACTGGGTCAGTTGGCATTTCTGTTTGGAGTTTGCATGTTCTCCCTGTGTTTCCCCCAGGTGCTCCAGTTTCCCCCACAGTCCAAAGAGATGTGGTACAGGTGAATTGGGTAAACAAATTTTGCCGTAGTGTATGAGTGTGTGAGTAAATAAGAGTTAAACTCGCAAACCAGCTTACATGGACGTACCCTTAATCCCTTGATTTGGACTGAGGAGGCAAGTAGGCGTCATACATCTACACCACCTACATGTCCCAGAATACAATGCAATTGTGACGTCACTACAGTGTAGTCAACATCTGAAGTGGATCAAAGTTGTCCTAAAACTATTGAACAACATCCATTGTTACCCTAGGAAAATTGAGATTAACTCCAAATGTTGACCACTACCAAGTGCTCAAGGGTTTGTTTGTTTGTTTTTTTCAATTAAACCCATTCAGATGTTCCATCAATAGTGGAGACTTGAGTAACGTAATCAATGACGTACATTCGAGTGAATGAGATGAAGAAAAGTGAAGGGCATGAGAAAAAAAAAAAAAGTTGGACTAAAATGTCTTTAGGGTGCTGGACTATAAGGACACTTCATTTCTGCCCTGCTTGAAATAACTTTAGTTCCCTTTCTGGATGTGTTCTAGTCCACTTCTAGACATGCACTCGCAAACTACCCTTCACTTGTTCCCTCGGGGGAATCCCTGCTGCCATTTTAAGTGTATTCCACTCCAAGTAAACAGTGGAAGCTTACATGGATGTACCCTCGATCCCTTGAATTGGACATAGAAAGCGAGTAGGCTTCATAAATCCACTCTAGCACCTAGATGTCCCAGAATGCAATTGTGACGTCACTACAGTGTTGTCAATGTTTAAAGTGGATCCAGTTGTCCTAAAACTATTGAACAACATCCATTGTTGCCCTAGGACAATTTTGATTAAATACAAATGTTGACTACTACCAAGTGCTTTAGGGTTTATGTTTTTTTTCATTTAAACCCATTCAGATGTGCTATCAATAGTGGAGACTTGAGTAACATAATCAAAGACGTACATTCGAGTGAATGAGATGAAAAGTTAGCGAGTGAAGTACATAAATAAATTAAAAAGTTGGACTAAAATGTCTTTAGGGTGCTGGACTATAAGGACACTTCATTTCTGCACTGCTTAAAATAACCTTAGTTCCCTTTCTGGATGCGTTCTACTCCACTTCTAGACATGCACTCGCAAACTACCCTTCTCTTGTTCCCTCGGGGGAATCCCTGCTGCCATTTTAAGTGCATTCCACTCCATCAAGTAAACAGGGGAAGCTTACATGGATGTACCCTCGATCCCTAGATTTGGACTAAGGAAGCGAGTAGGCTTAATATATCTACTCCAGCACCTAGATGTCCCAGAATGCAATTGTGACGTCACTACAGTGTAGTCAATGTTTGAAGTGGATCAAGGTGTCCTAAAACTATTGAACAACATCAGCGCCAATAGCCTAGTGGTTAGTGCGTTGACACATAGCACTGAGGTGGTCGCAGTGACCCGAGTTCGATTCCCGTCTCCAGGTCCTTTGCTGATCCTTCCCCTATCTCTGCTCCCCACACTTTCCTGTCTCTATATCTCCACTGTCCTAACAATAAAGGTGAAAACCCCTAAAAGATAACAAAAAGTAATAAATAAAAAAAACTATTGAACAACATCCATTGTTGTCCTAGGACAATTTTCATTCACTTCAAATGTTGACTACTACCAAGTGCTCAAGGGTTTATGGTTTTGCATTTAAACCCATTCAGATACTCCACCGCTAGTGGACACGAGTTACATAATCAAGTGAATTTAAGTGAATGAGACGAAGAAAAGTTAGTGAGTGAAGGGCATAAAAAAAAAAGTTGG